TAAATAAAAATTATAATAGGATTGTACTTCTTAAATAACAGCCGCACTAGACATAGACCACCATATATTTTGGTTTTATAGGCATGTAAAAAAAAGTTTTAAAAAGTCTTTTTACGATATTTCAAGATGAGTACTTCAAATACTCAGTCCTTATTTATGTATTATATAGAATGGATACAAACCTCAATAGACAACATTCATACGTATTTTTTTCCAAGAGATACTGTCCAATCATAGTCTTCTGTTTCTGCACATATATATGACACACTCACTGAACCAGTTACAATAAAACACATGCTGGTGATAATTAAAATCAAGATATCTGAAGTTAACGAAGAATTTAAGCTCATTTGTCACATCATCAAATTGTAAATTTGCTATTTAGGTCAATATTCAGTAGATCATACAAATATAAAATAGATAAGAAATACTTACTGATGTCTTTTGATCCAAGTTCACTTCGACATATGGATGAAAATGAACATTGCTAATTAATGGAGTCATTAATATAAAGATGTCAGAATCGGAGGCCATGGAAGGAAGATTGTTTCTCGTGTATTTTTTTTTTAAATAATAAACTTCATACGAGGGTCATTCAAAATATGTGTAGACAATATCCCTCATCATCAAATTATTTTTAAAAGATTTAAGATCATAACATTTTCATATCTAAAATCATTTATATTGTTGATGTCTGATGTTTCATTCCATTTGATTGAACAGAACTCATTCAATTTTAAAAGCAACGTGATTTGTCACCACGGAGCACGCTTAATACCATTGTAACGCCAAAAACATCGTCAAGGAAAGATTGTCAGTATTTTCAAATTCTTTACCGCGTAATTCTGCTTTCACAAATTCTGCAACAGGGAAGCGCACATCACGTTTCATGACGTTACTAACTCTGTTGCCCAGATATTTAAACAATAATCTGTTTCCAAGCAGACCGTTTATGTCTCTACCACTCAAAAACTGTTTTTCCATGTATATACAAATGCACGGTTTCCTCCAGCATTTTGAGAGTTTGTTTTAGAGGTTTCCCGAATGAAAAGTAAAATTTTATCGCTATTCGCTGCTCCGTCTTGTCCTTCGACGTCATCATTTTCTGTTTTTTTTTAAGGCCGAACTATACGTTCCTCAATAATATATAATTTTTCTCAAGATTTTGTCATTCAAGTATTGCTATTTTAACAAGTTTCGTCACAAAAAATTGAGATACCTTATCAGGCATTTGTGTACGATACCAGATGATGGTGTATTCTATATAATCCTATTGGAAATCTCTTGAATTATTAATATAATGATTTTTTTGGTGTATTAATTTTGAAAATAATATTAAAATCAAAAGATAATGATAATTATGAATATTTTTCTATATATTATGAAGAGATACAAAACATATATTCGAGGAACGTGTCGTCTGACCTTAATGAATCTGTTTTTCGAAGTTCATATCTTTTAAACGAAGCGGTGTATTACATTACATAAAAGAATCTAAAAAAAAAATTAAACAACACTAATTTGAGTACTGTGCAACAATATATTCGAGAAATTGTGTAAATCAGATGTGGATTTTTAAAAATTCCAAGGAACTTTTGGAAAATTTGAAATCTCAAGAAATTACCAAATTCAACAGCTTAAAAACTTACGACTTTTCTACTTTATACACAACCATTCCCCATGATAAATTAAAGTCCAGGCTTTTTAATATCATTGACAGCTGCTTTTTCAATAAAAATGGAACTCGTAAATTTACTTACCTTGTCATTGGTTATTTGCAAAATCATTTTGTTAAAAAATATTCTGATTGTACACACAAGTACTCTGAAGTTGACATTAAAAAGATGCTTGAGTTTTTGATTGACAATATCTATGTGGTTTTTGGAGACCAGGTCTTCCAACAATCTATTGGAATTCCCATGGGTACCAATTGCGCCCCGTTATTAGCAGACCTTTTTTGTATTCATATGAAGCAGAATGTGTCCAAAATCCTATACGTGAAAAGAAGAAAACACTTGCTGTGGCCTTCAACTCGACATTTAGATATATCGACGACGTATTGTCAATTAACAATGCTTATTTCCATTCTTATGTCGATACGATATATCCCGGTGAGCTTGAGATAAAATATACCACAGAGTCTGACACATCTGTTTCATATTTGGATATTTTACTTGAAAAAGACGTTAATGGTAATCTAACAACCAAGCTTTATGATTAACGTGATGACTTTAACTTTTCAATCGTCAACTTCCCTTACTTATATACCTTCATCACCTGCAGACGGGGTTTATATCTCTCAGTTCATTCGATACGCAAGAGCATGCTCTACGTGTGTTCAGTTTCTAATACGAGATAAAATATTGACAAACAAGATGATGAAACAAGAATGTCAGCAGTCTCGTTAAGAGTCATCATTTCGTAAGTTGTATGGTCGATACAGTGACCTTGTCAGCAAATACAATTTATCATTGAGTCAAATACTGAATGAAGATTTTCATACTAATTGTTAGGCCATTTTTAAGACACTGAATTGTCGACAGATTTTTCCGGTTTTTTCCCGATCATGACAAGGAGCACACGGCGGGTGTGACCGGTCGGCAGGGGATGCTCACTCCTCCATGGCACCTGATCCCACCTCTGATGTTTTGGAGGTCCGTGTTTGCTCTGCTCCTATTTTGTATTGTTTAATGGACTTTTAAGCTTGAATACTGTTCGTTATCTCCATATATTTCAACATTTAAATTTGATTTCGTTTAAGCGGCTTTTATATGAGGTATGAATATAGAAATTATAAAGTGCATAATTAGTAATAAAAAATTTACCCTGCTCCGTGACCCCATTTTTACTTAAATCTTTGGTAATTTTACTAAATATGAAGATATATTCTAAGTTTTTGACTCAAATTATTTCAATCTATTGGAAAAATATGTGTACCAAGTTTGGTTATCATATGATGTTAAATAAAAAAGTTATGGCGAAAGTCTGAACTTTTTGAATTACCCTTGAATGAGTATAAAACCGATGATGAGGTCAGTCATAAAGCACAACAGGGAGTTGGAAGATCAATCTTGTCTCCAAAACATACATTATAATATATCTCATTGTTTTACACATTAATCAAAAACAATTTGATGTGCAAGGGTTTTGAGAATAATTATTAAAGTAAAAAGTCATATTTTTCGTCGGCAATTTCGGCGAACTATTAAAAGAAACAAATTTAGTTAATTAGTTAACATATAATTTTATATCATTTGAAATAGGGAAAACATACGCAGCTATGTTAAGGCTATCCGAAGGCTTTATAAGCATTAGATATATAATATTTTATTTTGAGCTATGTTTTGATTTCAATTTGTAATCTATGCATACATACACAGTTAAGTTGCAAAGAGAGTTGAATAAGGTATTATAAATAAGCATTTCTGTGATGTCACATGACTGTGCTGATCACGTGAAGGACACTTATAAATTTTCTTAAATAATGCACAAAAATCGCATCGGCACAAGTGAAAAACAAAATAATTGTGAACGGCTTGTTACATAAATCAATTAAACGTATTCTTGGGTATATATAAAGTGCTGGGGGCAAGTCTGAATTTTATTTCTTAAGAAAATATTTCACGAGAAATTCAACTTACCCACATACAAGGGGTCATTTTCCACTCTTCATCGCAATTTATACAAAATGGGATTAATTACATACAATCCCCCAGCAAAATTCGTTTAGAGGACATATTTCTCTAGTAGATTCACACAGAATATCTTCAATTAATCCTTATTATTCACTTCTGCCAGTCTAATATATACACGATTTATAAATTCTCACTCCGTCTACAGGCGCGTAAGGGGGAGCGTTTCACATTTTCTTTTCGTATTTGTTTGAATACGTACATGTTTGACAAGAAAAAGGAATAACAATATTATACTGCAAATATTCACCATCATAACAGCCTTAAAACAACAATCCAGACACATGAATTAAACATCAACGTAAAAAAATCTACATGTGATGTGAAAGGAATGTAAATATTATGACTTTCCCTCTCATGTCTGCTCAAATTCGCAGTGACTTGACGTCATATGCCATTATGACGTCATATCTAGGTAGTTCAGAGATGTTACTGCGGCTGGTACACTGTGACATTCTTCGGACAGCCTTATCCTAGCCGCGTATTTATAATTGGGAACAATAACCTAGTTTTGTGAGGGGAAACGTCTGAATATAGATGGCATTTTTGCCCCCCCCCCCCCAAAAAAAAAAAATAATAATAAAATCACTGGATATTAAGTAAACATAAATATTAGAAAACTCTTTAAATGCTTGTAACTCCTCCTACAGTTTTCATCTGATTTTGGTAAAAAAGAAATTGATAAACATTTCCCAATATACATTATTCTATTTGTCTGAGGAATCAGTTGCCAACACTCTGACATTTAATATTCTTAACAAAATTTCTGGTCAGAAACCAGAAGAGCATATGCAGAGGTAAGTTGTCTTCCGACTGTCTAGCTGTCTGTCTCTGTAAACGCTAATTCTTCTACGGTTTTGGTTTAATTTCAATAATACTTGGTACACAAGTACAATACAGTATAGTAAGATCCATAGTTCTGTATCGATTTCTGATTTTTACAAATGGTGTTTCCATGAATATAAAAGTAAAATTTCTTTGATGTTTTTTTTCAAAACGTTACTCCTCCTATAGTTTTGGTCCGATTTAAATAAGACTTAGTAGACAAGTACATTATATACTAAGATATGTAATTCTCTATATTGATTTTTGATTTGACAAATTATGTTGCCGTGGTCATTAAAGAAAAGACATTTCTTTTTATTTCCTCCAAAAGGCTACAACTAGTTCATTTTTGATTGAATTCTAGTAAGCTTTGGTGAACAAGTACACTATATTAGCATACACCGAGTACATACCAGTTGAGCTTCAGCCTCATCGGAGAACACACTAGTTCCTATTTTTAATGATTTCTTCTTTTTCTTCTAGACTACCTGAAGTTTTGGATTACATCAATCAAGACATTTGGAGGCAAAAAGGCACCGCTGTTTCTTGTTGCCACACACACAGAAACAAAATCTACAGATGTAAGCATTAATGCTATTGTAATATAATTGGAATGTGATTTGAGAGCATTTGTAAAAAAAGATTTTCTTTTGAAATTTATTTTGTATATTTCCATACTTTTATAGCAAATTTAAGACAAGATATGCTTGTTTATATAAAGAGAATTCTTCTTGATCAAAAGTTGCATGGCATCTGTTTTTCTGTCAACTTGTCAGTGAAGAATGCATTCAGAAATGTACTCTAAAGGACGTCCTTCTGATCTGGATCTTCAGAGTTTAAACACTTTAAAAGTATTTAAATTACAGCACAGCATAACACGCTGGAGCACTCATTTATTTATGCTTCAATTATGTTATCCCCTTCAGGAAATAGAGAAGTATTTTGAGGAGTTCTGGAATGCTGTACCTGATGAGGACAGAGATTGGTTAAGTAAGTCTCTGAATGATCGGGAATATGCAGTAGGTCTAGTGGAACTAAATTACAAAACAAAAGAAATGCTGGAATCGATGAAAAAGTCCATAGTGGAACTATTCACAGATGAGGCCAATACTAAAATTGAATTGCCTTCTTCTTGGGCTTTAATGGAACAGTTATTGTATAAAGGAGCCTGGAAGGTTTTGTCCCTGGGTGAAATTTGGAAGCTCAACTCATCTCTTCCTAATGAATACCGATTTAAAGGTGATGAAGAAATGTCTAAGTTTTTAAAGTGTTTCCATGATAATGGACTTCTCTTGTATTTTAAAGAAGGGAAATTGGGGGAACATGTTATACTAGACATACAGTGGTTTGCTAATGCTTTCAGCAAGATAATTGCTGATGTAAACCATATCAATAAAGACTGCAAAAGGAGATTGATTAAAGAATGGAAATCTTTCAACAAAACGGGGGAACTTAAGGTCGAAGTGGTGGACTCGCTGTGGAAAGATGAACAATCATACTTAAAACACAAAAGTGGAATTATGTCTTACATGGAAAAACTTCAAATGCTTGTATCTTTGGAGATTGGATCAGAAGGTTGCATTTCATGGTATGTCCCATGTATGAATAAAAAACAGTTTAAAGCTGACTTTTGCGAGGAAAAGTGGGAATGTTCATCCATTTTGTGCTATCGATTCACTTCTTTTGCTATGTTTATTTTCTACAGACTGGTATCGTATTGCATAAGTATTCTTAGATGGAGTGTTTCAATAGACGAAGATAATGAAGGAAATCTGTGTCTTTATCAAACAGCAGCTGCGTTTGATCACAAAGAACACACTGTTATTGTTGGTATATGTAATGATGATATTCAGTTGCAAGTGTTACGACTCAGACGGTTAGCTGTAGATAAAGAGGTTTCAAATGAGATTGGAGACTCCATCGAACATGCCATAGAAAAATTGACAGAAACATCTCATAACTCAAAAATATTTCACAGAGGATTCAAATGTCAAAACATTATTTGTAATGAGAAAGATCTATCTTTCACCCTTGCAAGTGAGCTCGCCAAAATCAAAACTGAAGAAACGCAGTGCAAGTGTCAACTTCGGGAGAAACATGTGATAAATGTACAAAGGACTTTGGGTTTCTGGGAAAAGGTAATTGTTGTCTATCATACCCCTCACTCCACAAAGTTTATTGGGGTATATTGGAAATACTTTGTTGTCCCTCTCTTTGTACAGCTATCTGTCTATCAGTCAATCTTTTTATGATCGTAATGTACAAATATAGCCTTTTGATGATGTCAATCCCTATTTATATATAGACCTTTGAGAAAGCCCATCGACCGAGCACGAAGTGCGATATGCTTTCTCTTAGGTCTATTTATCTAGGAATTAATATTGTACGGAATCAAAAGGCATTATTTGTTGTATTATTTTTTTTCTTTATAGTTAATAATCTTAAATGTCTTAAAAATCAACGTTTCTATTACTCAATATTTTATCATATATAAGAATTATTATGCCATACGCATTATGCGCTTTTTTTAGATGCTTACAATAGAAACATCTAGTTTATGACATTTTTTACTTGATCATGTGATCTAGTTTGAGCCAATCAGATAGTGTCACGCTTAAACTTCTAATTTCAAGATATTTTTCTAAATACTGATTAATTTCTCTTTTCTGTTGAAAAGAAAAGATCTCTGATCGTTAACTATGTACAGTCTCATAAATATTGTCAACAAAAGAAAATTATGAACAAGGGAAAACACGGACCTCTTAAAACACAAAAAGGTAGGATTAGGTGGTTTAAAAAGTTAGAATCTACTGATGGTCTAAATTAGTCTTTTGGCCTTTTTTATGCCTTTATGCTCAAAAGTATTAACCGAATAAAATTCAATTTAGTGCTACTTTTAAAAAGTATATCAGACTCAATCTTCTTAAGACTAAATTGTTTCTTTAATAATATAAGTAATGTTTGGATAAATTGTCTTTTTTATACATAATGATTTATGTTTATGTTGGGTTGATCAACTTCATGTAAATATTGTTTCAGAGAAAGGCAAACATTTCTAGCACTGGACAAAAACTTATGGACCGATCTAGATTTGCAAAACTCGGAATGGCAACAAACGATGTGTTAAATCAGGCATACAGAGACGTGCTTGAGTGGGAAATGCACCCTTCCCTTCTTTATAACAAAGTGAGGACATCATCAATTTATCCAACATTACGCCCAGATCAAGAAGATCTTTTGAAGAAGGCAAATAATGATGGATATAAGAATTTTGATATTTCATTAATCTACATGTTGATCAGAAACGTTTGTTCAAAGATCCCTAAACCTACAAAAGGAAAATGGGGAGGGAACAGTATGCCTGCAGCAGGAGAGATAAGGGTGGGTGATGATGTCGAGAGAATAAGGTTGATTCGAAACAATTTGACTGCTCATGTAAGCTCAGCATCCACCCCTCACACAGAATTCGAAGACACCTGGTTAACGATGTCAGATATCTGCAGAAGACTTGAAACCTTCACTGGAAAGAAGTGCTTGGATAAACTTAATTACATTCAAAAACTGACATTAAAAGAGGAAGATGAAGATGCTATCATAGAAAAGGTTAAGTTGGATAGTCAGTATGAAATGGTGAAGACAGTGGTGTCAGATGTGCAAGAAGTTAAAGCAGCAGTATTGAGGCTTGAAAGCAAGCATGCTACAAATTAAGTGTATTACTCACAGACCATTCATAACAGCACTTGAATATACACCATTATAAATATTGAAAAACAATATTGAACTCAAATTCAATTCACAATGATTTTATTTGTAGAGTATGATATTGTTAATATATAGAACATTATGTAGTTGCATACCTTGGGAGCCACTGTTTAGAATAAGTTTTCATTATTTTTTATGATTTGAGAATTACATCTGTAGCCTGGTCAGTTTACCTTTAATATTTACAAATGCATATTATAAACATTTTAATAATTGAACCAAATAGAAAATGTTTGTCTAATAAAACTGAATATGATTGATTTTTCATTGATGTTTATAAAAGAAAAAATTAATAACCCCATTGGGATTTTTAGTTCTTTTGAGCCAAATGCTCAAAGACTAATGCTATTGCCATTTGTGCGGTAAGCGTAAACTTTTTAGAATATGGGTCATATATATGATAAGACTCAAGAGATCCTTGGACAATTTTTGCAATTTGTCAGAGTATCATTTGTTTATATTAAAATTAGGGATGTGACCCTTAAACAAGGGGTTATAATTAGGAAAACAAAAACAAAAAAAAAATCTATGCATAGGCAGATTATCACCAAACGTAAACACAGGGATGAGGATATGTTGTAGATTAAAAATTATTCAAGGCATCATCCTAGGGTAAAGGGCGTGGTCTCAAGGTCACTTCAAAGTTGACCAAAATTATGTATTTTACAAACGTTGATATTTTGTTTACTATAAGGACTAGGATCATCAAATATTGTCAGTTTATGCATCTTACGACTTCACATCGTGTTGACTCAAAAGTAGGTCACTGTGACCTACTTCTGTGAATTTTGCAGGCATTTGTTTTCAGATTGATTTAGAGGCATATTTTGGACCCTTTAATGCCTACATGTATGATCACCAAACTTCGTTAGTTGAGGAATCTTAGGTCCTTGGAGTACATCAACTGAAAAGTAAGTCACCATGACCTCTTTTGAATTGTATGTTTAATTTTTTTCAAAACATTTAAGGTCATTGTTTCAGATACTGAGGGGTTTAGAATCATCAAACCTTGTAAGTTGATGCATCTTGGAGTCTTCAAACATATTAATCACAAAGTCGGACACAGTGACTTACTTTTTGAATTTTGCAGGCATTTGTGTTCAAATTGTTTAAGAGGCATATTTTTGACACTTTTAAGCCTTTGATCAACAAACTGTCAATTGTTGTATCTTCAGTCCCCAGATTAAATCAACTGAAAAGTATGTCCTCGTGACCTACTTTTTGATTTTTTTTATGTCTAATTTTTTCAAAACATTCAAGGTCATTATTTCAGATAGTGAGAAGTTTAGAACCTTGTAAGTTGATGCATCTCGGGGCCTTAAAACATGTTTATCAAAATATGGGTCACTTTGACGTACTTTTTGAATTTTGCAGGCATTCGTTTTAAATTGTATGAAAGACTTGTTTTGGATACTTTAAGGCCTATGATCATCAAACTTTGTCAGTTTATGCATCTTAGGTCCTCAGAGTACCTCAATTGAAAAGCAGGTCGTTGTGACCACTTTTGAAATTTTATGATTATATTTAATATTTCAGACAATAATGGGCTTAGAATCATTAAACTTTGTAAGTTGATGCATTTGGTTCCAAGGAACATGTCAAGTGAAAAGTAGGTCACAGTGATCTACTTTTGAAATATTTCAGATACTTATTGGCTTAGAATTATCAAGTATGTCAACTGAAAATGAGGTCACCATGACCTAGTTTTAAATTTTATGGCTATATTTAAATGTTTCAAATTACTAATTGTCTTAGAATCATACACACTTTTTCAGTTGATGCATCTTGGGTCCTCGAAGTAGGTCAGAGAAGGTCATGGCGACTTTTGGAGTTCTAAGGTGATATTTTGATTTTTGAGATACTAATTGGCTTAGAATCATCGAACTTTGTCAGTTGATGTATTTTGAGTCCTCAGAATTTGTAAACTAAAAAGTAGGTCACAGTGCCCTACATTTAGAACTTCAAGGCAATATCTAAATATTTCAAATGATAAGGGACCTAAAATCATCAAACTTTGTTAATTGAGGCATTTTGGAGTCTCAGAGTATGTTTACCAATAGGGAGGTTACCGTGACCTACTATTGGTATCTCATAGCTATATCTAGATTTCTTTTTATAATAAGGAGCTATGTGAATCACCAAACTTTGTCAGCTGATGCCTCTTGGATTCCCAGAATTTTTTAATCAAAATGTAGGTCATAATGACTTTTAGAATTTAAAGGCTTTTTCTAAATATATAGGATACTTAGAGGCTTCAAATAGAAGTGATCGGTTGTACAATTTATCAGGAGAGCAATTCAAGGCCCTTGTATCTTGAGAAGACTCAGGAGAACCATATTTTTTGTTGTAAAATGTATATACATTGGAGAATTTTCAGCATAATTCTCTTTTGGAATGACTGAACAATTTTTTTTAACTAATTTGCTAAAGGAAACAAATTCTCAAGAATGCGTGTAACGTTTAAACAAAATATTTTAGACGAGACAGACAAATAATGGAAAGACTAGTGACAGAAAGGTCATATGTCAAAGTCCCAGGGAAGATCAAAGTTTACAAAATACATGTATATATATTCTGTTTGATGTCAAGGTCATGGTAAATGAATAGGTTAAAATATAAGCTACTCAGTACAACAATATGGGCCACGGAGAAGTTCAAGGCAATACTTTTTTTTTTATAGATTCATAGTACTTGTAAAGGTAAAGGTTAAATATTTGATCGATACACAGATCCTCGGAAGGGTTGAGTAAAAATAACAATGCCAGTACTGGTGTTTATTAGTGTTGGGAGGGGGTATCCTATAGGCAGGGGGTGGTTGGGTATTGACTTAGCATTACCCGTACTGATGATTATGGGTGTAGGGAGGGGGTACCCTATAGGCAGGTGGTGGCTGGACATTGACTTAGCATTACCAGTACTGGTGATTATTGGTGTAGGAAGGGGGTATCATATAAGTAAGGGGTGGCTTGGAATTGACTTTGCATTTCCAGTACTGTATAGCAGTGATAGACCGACAAAAAGATGCTTATTTTTCGAGTTTAATGCACCGTCATACCCTACAGCTGAAAGTTATATTTTATAAAAGATACATCCCTTCTCATGCATTTCTTCAAACCAAGTCTTATATTCTCCTTGATCTGAAATTTTTAATGTTTTGTGTTACCGAAAACAAATTATAGAATCCCAGCACTACCTGTGATAGTGGCATCACTGACTGATTACCGATCAAAATATTGTAAAACGTATTAAATTGTCTTCTTCTCGTAATAAAAAAAATAAAAGCTAATTGGTATTTAACTTTAAATTTAAAGATTTCTAATCTAAGCGTCAGCTTGAACGAAAGCAATCACTTTCCTGGGAAAATATGCAAGTTTTGACAAATTTTCAAATCTCCTATAATATAGACGTCAACTGAAGTCCGAACTTCAATTTATATATTTATTCTGTTTTATTTAATCAAGGAAGACGTAAAGATCAATCATGTTACTTTTACTTCACATTTCTATTTGAACAAGGTGTCTTCCATGATCAGGGATTACTTTATCTACATCAAAAACAATACAAACACGACTAAGATATATGAAAAAGAAAGAGAAGAACAATATAAGGTGTTATTGACACGTTAGAAGAAAAAAAAATGTGAGAATGAAATTTCAGTATATCTTTGGAAGACTATCATAAAGATCAAACATCACTTATTTTACTACCTCTTGAAAAGGGGAAGGGTATACATATATGTAAATTAAAGTGATTCGGGTGTCTGGCTATCCGTTTATCCTTTCGTCTATTACACTCGGGGTGGCCGTCCCTCATCCACCATTCCTCTTGTAAATTTATGCGATTTAATACAGAATCTTTATTACAGAGAGCCAATAAGCACCTACTATTTTACGGAATAAAATATGAGTTTCCCAGTTTTCCAGTACTAATCTCTTATTCTGAACTCCTCCTGTGTAACTGAATAAAATTTAACGAAATTTTCACAGAATCTTATCTTAAAGTGTCATTGTGCACTTTTAATTTTAATTTTTGATTGGACAAATATCTGCGATTTCTTATGTCAAAATATAGACTTTGCCATTATTCTTGAAAAGGGGATATCCATTTTTAACGCATTTTCTTTTTAAACCCTGAATGAATATTGATGGAACTTTCACAGAATCTCCTTTAAACATATTGCTCTTTATATATCGATTGGATTGGGGTTACAGTTTGCTCACAGTACCTCTAGTTTTTTAAATACATTTGCAGAACAAAAAAAATTAATCAAAATAAGATATGAATCGAACGAAACAATCCATCAGTGGTCAGTGATATAAAAACGCTTTGTTTAGTCATTAGATAGTGTTTCTGCTGTAATGTCTTCTCTTTTGCAAAATAAGTGCATGTGCCCTTTTCTGTCATAAGCGTCCAGCATATATGTCGAAATATGACAACCTTGAATAAAACTGCTTTCAAATTCAAAAAGTTGTTTAACGAGTCTAAAATTATAAACAAGACAAAAACAAACCATAAATTACGATGATTAAACATGTATGACGTCATATAGCTGAGTAAGTTGCTTCAGGAACAGAAAATGTCAAAAGAGTTCAATATATTTAAAATTAATTTTGTGTTATGTTAAATAAAATCTTATTTCATTGTAAGCAACAATAAGCAAACTTAGTCATATTCCGTTGTTTAATTTGTTTCTTTTTGTGTGTGGGGGGGGGGGGGGAGTGGGGGGAAGGGCTATTGTCCATTTTTTTGATTTTCCTTACTGTATATACACGTACCTGTCTTAAAATTGTCCGATTGTATTTAATGAAATAAAAAGTTAACTTTAGCATTGAACCTCTAGGAATAAACCTATTTCAAGCCATTTAATTTTACAGACAGACAGATAGATATTATGGTTCAAATTTTTGTTCCCTTTCTTTGGAATCAGTATATTCACTGCATAAATCAAATTTCCACACAAATATATGGCAAATTCGAGAACATTTTTGAATTGCTTAAATGAAACTTTTTTTAATATGTTCATTATTATTGTCATATTTCAATAGCTAAGCTTCAACCTTCTATCATTTTAAATTTTGACCATAGAAATCTCTACGACCGGACAAAAATAATTGCTTAGTAATATATCTTTCCAAAAAAGTACAAATCAGCCGTAGG